CTTACAATCCTAAATATATTTCGATTTTAAATAACCTAAAAAGGGCTGATAAATCGTAAAAAAAACAAAAAACAATCAATCAGTGTTGTTATTAAAAGGATACTTCATCCGGTACATTATCTGTGTGCTCCGGATCGAACATGATTCGATCTCTTTTTTTTTTTTTTGATAGGTTTTGCTCCTTGAAGTCGTCGTTCTTTTTTCATCTCCTCTTCTTTTTTTCTTATTTTGTTTAATTTTACTTGTTGAGTTCTTTTTACTTTTTAAGCTTCCTCTTCCGCACAGATTCCAGTGTAGAATTGTATTATTTCCTCGTCTTCTTGCTATTTCCTCTTATTTTGCATATTTTCTCTGCTACTTCCTTCTTTACAATAAACAATTTCCCATTGATATTCTCTATATTATTTCCACATTTCCACGAATTTGAGAATCTCTTCTTGATTTCCACATGAAATTCGATGACGTCCTCTATCATTTCATTAGCTCTTTGAGAATCATTTCGTTTCTCTCAATCTTAAACTCAGATATGTTTCTTCAACGTGCAATTCTGCGGTTCTGTTCAATATCAACTTTATTGATAAGGTTTACATCTTTAATGCTATTGCCTTTGTCAGCAATTACAAAATGCTTTTCCTATTCTGTTTTCCACAATTCTGTTTATCCAAGGCTATTAACAGATTCTTATGAAAATCTGTATTAATAATTGTTCTATATCTCATGATCCAGTTAATCTTTATTTGATCGCGTAGGCGAGTGATTAGAAATTTCACTTTCCTAATATGAAACTCGTGCTCCAATGTCATCATGGTCGGTTTGATTTCTTGGTGATAAACACCTGGAAAAGTGTCTGAAAAGCATACAAATGAATAACCCAATTATAGTGAGTGAAATTGTGTAAAAGGAAAAGCTGTCGATCACACCAGATTAGACATTGTTCGCCAGAAACTGTAAAAAAGATAGGCTTTAGCTGGCGTCTTCAACAGAGATTGGTTAACCCGCACAGTAGATTGGCGTATTCAAAAATGAGTAACTGGCTCTTAATACTATTTATTATACCCTGTGAATGGAATAAAAATTGTTCTAAAACTGTTATTATCAAAATAGTAAATACATTTTAAAAAATCCATTGACAAAAGACTGATTATGTTCATAAAATCACGGTGATCCGATATTAACTTGTTAAATAAAGAAATAATTCGTTCAGGCATAAAAAATATTCTGTATCAAACAAATAACTATATATATATATATATATATATATATATATATATATATATATATATATATAGTGTTGAGGAAAACGTGACACAGAAATCCGAAGACGCATAGCAATTGTGAATGATGAATGGCAAAAGCTCAAATAACTGTTATAACAGTAATATTCCATTAGAAACGAAGAAATAAATCCTAAACTGCTATGTAATATCTGACTCCCTATATGCTGTGTAATGTCAATCTTCCTATGTTACAGATTGCAGCAACATAAATGTAGTTCTACAGAAGGATACTGAGAATACCATGGACTGAACATGTGATTAACAAGGAAGTTTTAAGGGAAATGGAAACCAAAGTATATTTATAATTAGAAAGAGACGGATACATAATGAATGAAGGGGGAGAAATCAACACTCACGGGAAGAGTGACAGAAGAAAACAGTGTGTAAACGAACAAGCTTGTGTAAATGGATGGCAGAGCAAAGAATGAGTAAAAAGGCAAATATTGGTTGGTGTTACAAAGGATACGAAATTGGGAAGAAACATTATGGACCCCCAACTGGGGACAATGCATATAAAAGAAGAATGAAGTATTTTCTATTTTATAGATTAATATTTATGTTGTAATTTTGCTGGTTTGCATAATATAATCTGATTTCCCGAAACCGTTTACTATCACAATGTTTAATTAGGCGATATATAATAATTTGAAGATTACACGATGTTTTGCTTGGAATTGCAAGGTCAAACTGAAAAATTAGCAAAATATGTTGGTGACTAATTATTCTATTGGTAAAACATTGACTTGAGTAATAAAATTTAAATTTAGACTCCAATTTACACCCACCATATATATATATATATATATATATATATATATATATATATATATATATATATATAAAAAACAATCCGAAAGAGTCAGGAACTACCTACCTAGGTTTCACCTAAATGGATCTTCAGGTGAAACTGGCCAAGAAGGAAATGATACGCAACATGTTTATTGATAAAACCAACAATATAAACTAAAGTTACCATAAAACCACGTGACAAAAGAAGAAAGAACCAATGAAAAGAAGAATAAAAAACAGGAATCTCTTTTTCAATAATCAAATTTTCTTATGCCTGCACCTATTTATGTTTTCAAATATTTGGTTTAGTAAATGGTGGGGTTTATCGAAGGTAGCTATTTCTAACCTTTCCTCCATATATAAACAATGTGTAACCTGCTTTATACTTGTGACATTCTTTTTTTATTATTTCCCATTTTAAAATGGAATCTATTCAATCTTCCTGTTTAATATTCCATATATATGTAAACAGGCTTGTACTGTGTTTATATATATATATATATATATTTATTTTTAATGATACTTACATGGATATAGTACCGCTTTTAAAGTTTAATGCGACTTATATGGTTATAGTAGCGTCTTGGGTGAATCCAATGTAAATTTTACTGTTCTTATTACCATTGTTAGGTTTATTTCTATGTATTTCAACCTTGTTAACAACACATTCCTGTTGGCACTTGCTATTAAGTGGGCAGGCATCGTTATTTCTGCAGTTAAATTTAAGGGGTTGGGGTGCGTATTTTTTATAACTTTTTTCCTGTTATATTTATATCTATTGAAAAATTTTCTTCAATACATTGGACGGGGAAAATTCATTTTTAATAATTAAAAAATATTTTACCTATTTTAGTTGTGACGGCTAAGTTATATGGAAGATAGCCTTATTTTTTCCTTTTACCTTGCATATTGGGCGAATTATAAATATCTATATACGTCAGTTTAGTTTTATGTCCACTATTTTCCAAGGCTCTTTTATAATCTTGTTTATTTATTTTGATTAAAACATTGGCACAGGATGAATTAATAGATAATCTAAAATTAATTCCATTGGATATTTGTTTTAAAAACATGATTGTGTGGTTCGAACCTACGTCGATGTAACAGGGCTGTTGATTGTTTTTCCTAAATGGAGAAATTGTAACATTGCATAATTTAAGTATAATATCTAAAAAATCAGTTACGTTTAGGTTTGTTTGTATCTCAAATTAAATCCGAATTTATTGAACATAAAGTTCATTTTTTAACGGATTATGTCACCATTTCTGAGGATGCATTTATCTATTATAATTACACCATCGTCTCAATATAGACGATGGTTACTTTGATCAATATATTTATTCAAATAATTTAATAGGAGACATCCTACTAATACGCAAAATTCAGTAAAGTCTTATGCCCCCATAGGATTATCAAAGCTGTCGCTACCTCCTTTCTTAATCCATAACGACTTGCGTTAGTCAATTTTTGTCATCAGATATGGAAAGGTACTTCTTAGCTAGGTTTAATGCTTCCTTAAGCGTTTCTTTAGTATTGGACGGGTAGAATTCTTTTGTCATACTTTTTTTTTTACCAACCGAGTATAAGAAAAACCGTTGAGAGAACCAAGTAAAAAATTGTCAAAACCTAAAGCCCTTATTTAGGTAAACGAACAAAAACGACCATACTGAAAGAGGAAAAATCGCCTGGAGTCAAACCTACCTACATACGCGATCATCTGATGACTTCTAAAGTATTAATCAATTTATTTTAATTCGACATTTTTACTAGTTCCAACGTTATTATAATATTCGTATTTAAAACAGAAGGCAAGCTTTTATTTTAACCAGTTTGTGCTGTGTCTGCTCATTCGAGAAATCTTAATAAAGAAAATAAGCTCTCCAGCATGGGTCGAACCAGCGTCCGACTTTTTAGCAAAAACCGCCGTTTGAGCTGGTGCGTTTTACGGCTAGGCTATATAGAGCTTCACAGACAAACAAAACTCTATTTTCCCTTTTATGGAAAATCACATTTCCCCATTCAGATATTTTTACTAGAAAGACCATATCTGCTCAATTTCGTATCCGAAATGTAAACAAAGCAATTTCTAAAAAATTACTGGATTTATTTTTAATTCGATTCTTTCATTACTTCAAACGTTACTATAGTGGTCACGCGAATTTGAAATAGACACCCCACTTTCATTTTAAAAGGTGTGCGTCCCGTCCATTGTGGCATTAAGCTTTGATTCCTCTCGGAGAGCATATTTTCTTTAAGATTTCTTGAATGCGCA